CTATCCGTCTCAAATTGTTATCTGACAATTCGAGTTCAATTAATTTGGGAGTAAAATACAAAAATTTAGCGGCCAAATGTTTGATGTAGGTGTTCCACAGTGTGAGAGATTTCAATTCTTTCAAATCAGCTAACAGATCATTGTCCAAATGAATGTGGTAGTTGCTTATTCTCAGAATTTTTAAATGTCCAAAACCGTTTAGATGCTGCTTTTCCAAGATCAAGTTCTTGTTTTCATATGATTTAAGTGTTAAATACTCAATGTCTGTAGCTTTTAGCATTCGCGCAATGTGAATCAATTTAATATTATTATTCTTAGGTAAGTTGCACTTTTCGAATATTATCCCGTAGTCAGAAATCCGAGAAGTATTATACAACGTATTATTCCTTACGTCAAGATTAAAATTTGACAAGTCCGGTGAGTTGATACAAGCGACCTATGTGAAAAAACATATTTGGTGTCAATTTGATTTAATTATCTAAAAGTTAAAAGAAAAAAGAAGAAATGTTTGTTTGTGAAATTTTCCATGAATTTGATACTAAATTATTATTTGAAGTAAAATTTTAAGTAAATAGTTGTAAGTAAGACATTGAAAAACTCTTTAAAGAAAGATGGAATAGAAAATTTTCTTAGAAAATATTTTGCTCTACGAAAGATATTATTAAATATAAAAACATGAATAACGTAAGCATGAAAAATTTAATATTTTTTAATATTCAATGTGTTATAATATTTTTGGATTGTTTAATATAACAAATAATCTGTTTGTATCTATATTAGTCGTTTTTTAATTTTATAGCTATTAGTTTAGATTTTTATAGTATTATTAATTGTGAGTACATAAAGTTTGAAAATTATATATCGCACACCCGCAAGAAAAGTGACACAAGTCAAAATTTTCGAATTTTGTTTTATGTGCGGATTGCGTTCTAAATCAGTCTTTAATCAAGAAACGTGATAGAAGTTGTATTTAAATATTTTCCGCATGAATCCAATATGTTTAATACTGCCGTAAATAATTAATTATAAAGTTATTATTTAACCAAGTAGAGACACGTTCAATTATTTTCTGGAAAATCAACCTCGTCTAAGGCGATTTATAATTAGTGACAGAATTTGAAATAAAAATTAATTTATGATATTATTAATGAGAAACGTTATTATTAAAGTAATTTCTTCTTTCCTCTCTAATAATTTGATATTTTTGATTTTTATCACTTTTTTTGCGAGTATGCGATGTGTGCATACATCAATATGAAACATTCAAGATGTGATAAATACGTACCAATATGTAAGCACGGTCGTAGTTAATAAATATTTCAAAAACAGAATTATTATTATCTATTCTACATCTTATATAAGTTGGCACCAAGTTTCTATATGTACATTGACACTCCTTGTTCGGAGTGTCTACAACTACAAAAAAAAAATTTTTTTTTAATTTAAAAATATTGCTTGACATTAGATAAATTTATTTCTTAAAGTTTCAAATAAATCTTGAATAATTGAGAAACAATAGGAACTGCCTTAAAGACACATATTTTCTTGCTAGCATTTTGTATTATAATATGTATTGCGACGTGAACTAGCCTCGGAATCACGCCAGATCCGAGGGAGCACGCCCAATGGAAATCAGTAACTCGCGGTATCGGCAATAAATGCTCGATTCGGTAACTTACGGTATCGGAAATAGATGCTCAATTCGGTAACTCGCGGTACTCCACGCTCGTCAAGAGCAAGGTAACTCGCGAAATCGGCAATAACTGCACGATTCGGTAACTTGCGGTACTCCACAAAATTCGGGAGCAAGGTAACTCACGCGATAACGGTAACCGGAAATGGGCGCCAGGTGCGAGTAATCGCACCGCGGTATCGGTAACTTTAACAGTTCTCAAAATTGCTCGGCCGCTCCCCGCTCAGTATATGGCAGAGGGGCGCAGTTCTTTTGTTTAACGTTAGATATCTGGAGTGAGAGGCTAACGCAAGGACAACTCAATAATTAAAAGTTAACAATGATGTATTTCAGTGATTTGGTTACAAGGGTAAAGATGCTTAAACTATTCGGCCGGAGCCGATACGGCGGAAATAGGTTGATACGATGGTAGGGCCCTTCGCCCTATAAATTCGGTAACAAGGATCGAGTTCGATGCCTACATCAAATCTCGGGAACGCGATCACGATAATTCACCGCTGATCCGACTATATACAGCCAACAAAAGACTTATGTTTTGATCATCTGATACGGCCGGTGAAGGCCAAATAAATATACTCTAAACGACGGTAAGAATTATACTCTATACGGTAAGAAATATACTCTAAACGACGGTACCTAACGGCCAGAAATGAAATGCCGCGGAACGGCTATTTTTCGCGGGCTTTCCCGTTTCTCGCCGAGACGCTAACTTTACGGTAACCGCAATCTCGCGGAGAACGTTCCCGAACCAAAATCCGTCCGCGGACATTCACCCACGGTACTTCCGGTACGGTAGTAATGCGACAGAAAGACGGTAACAATCGGTAATTTCAAAAGAACGGTAACGGTAGAACGGTACGGTAACGAAACGAACGACAAACGAAACGGTAACGAGAAGAGACTGTCGACACTTAATTCCCGCAAGTCGGAGAGACTTTTTACGCGATATCCGGAGCCGGCTGGACATGCGGTAACTAAGCGTAATTGAGCGCTCACGGTATCAAAACTATGTGTGAGAGACACAAAATACAGAAATAACTCACGCTACCAGCCATAACCGGACGGAACTCTACAGCTACCCGAGAGGCGGCTTACAATGAGTGGACGTCTTCGGCGTCTTCGGTGTCGTCGGGCTGAGTCCTGGATGTCGTCCTCGCGCACTTGCGGCACACCGAACAGTGGCTCTTCTCGGCTCTGCACGTAGGTCCTCTCCAAATCCGCGTCGCCTTCCTGCGCATCCTGCCGATTTTCCGAAAAGGTGGGCCCCTGAGAACCGCCCACAGTTTATCCAGGGCGCCCCCCCCCCGCTCACTGTGGTTTCCTCAACTCTTTCGGCCGCTAGCGTGTCGATGAGTCGATGTTCCCGGAAGAGACTGGTTAGGCTGGCCGGGCCATACTCCGGTCCTTCCGAGTGCAGCATCTTCGAGGCCCTCGAAGCCGTCTGCAGCCGGGCGAGGTCTGCTGCTGCGTGTCTCTGCGCTTCTTTGATTTTGGCTAAAACCAGAGCAAAGTTAGATAGGGCTTGGATGGCGGAGGCGACGGAATCGCGGTACCTGACCTTTTGCTGTGGGGTCACTAACGCGTGACACCCGTCGATGATCCCCCGGCGTCCGGTCTTCCTGGCGATGCTGCATCTTCGCCCTGAGGCACAAAACACGCAACGCCTCCCGCACGGGGTCTCGCCTTACAACTTAAAAAACGATATTAACGACATAAAACGGGAATACAATACAAACAACGCGCAAAGATTGTGGAGTCTCGCGGGTTGCTCTCTCCACGCGAGGAGCAACACCAGGACTCTTTGCTCCCTCGGCCGGGCTATCGCCCTTGTGACGGCGCTCGAAAAGCGTCACGTCACAGTATAATATGTGTAATAATTATTATACATAGATTGTTTCTGTCAATTTTTGCACAGATAAGTGCAGTTGTTTGTTTACAAATTAGCTAGGTTTAATTTAGCTGTGTATGTAAATTGTGTTAAGAACAAGATAGTAAAATTATTAAACGCTGTTTATCGTTTGAGTAAGTGACATAAATATACATGTCACATTTGCAAATAATAACTTTAATCTTCTTCTTTATTATCTTTAAATATTATAGCAAGTAAGAAGCAATGTCCAGAAAAACGAAAATAAATTATTCTTGAAAATAAATCACATCAATAAAAAAAAAATATTATGTTACCCGGCAATATTTATTTCTTAACGATTGTAAAACTTACACATTTTGTAAACGCATTAACTACAGCGCGAATATACAATTTAATTTTACACTACGTACGTGAAGGATCATTAACAGAAGGTGATGCATGAATAGATTCATAAAAACAAAATTCATACTATTTACTCACCTTGTTTTATATTAAATACGTTGTAAATGTCTACGAGCTCCGTTTTTAGATTGCTTTTTCTAATAAAAAATAATGATGACAAATGATGCTGGACAATATTATTTCTATCTACGGGTATCACACATATGCACTGCTTGTCATGTTCCTCAACATTTCTGATAGATTGGTTTGTTTTTATTGTGAACTATGTTCCTTAGAAAATTCATATAAGCAGTGGGTTTACAAGACAACATAAAAGAATTATGTTTATCTAATTTATAAAACTATAATCACATTCCACACTCGCACGCAATATATTTCAAAATATTGTTAACTACAATCTACTATTCGTTAGACGGCTGATAGAATCTTGAACATTTTTGTCTCCAAGTTGGAGAGTTGTTATTCTTTAGCTGGTCCTACGTAGACTGACTAAGTAATCGCGATCTTTTATTTTTTTCTTTTGACTGTTTCCGCTCTTTTATTGTTTTTCTATTATTTATTCTTCTTAGCTTTGTATAGTTATACAATATACAAAAAATGTGTTTAATTGTATGCGTGATACGTAAGAAATTAAAAGCACAAAACATAAATAATTTATTTTACTTGAGACGATATTTCTAGACTTTTTAAAACAATTATCAGCAACTCACTTAATTAATCTCGAATAATCAGCAGAATTTCTTATCACGAAACCACAAAATGAAAAGAAGAAAGAAAGATATGGAGAAAGATTATCTTACTGCGTGCGTTCTAATTTAAAAAAAAAACGAAAAGTTTGTTACATTATTATATTTATACTACACATACTACACATATTATTATTTAAATTTAATTACAAAATTTAATTAAAAAATAAGATAAAAATTAAAACTAATTTAAATTAATAATATTTTTTAATATATATATTAATTAATTTTTTAAATTATTTATATTTTTATTGCTTAAAGAAGATAAACAACATTTGTCAGTGGATAATATATTGTCAATGTTTCTAAATTGTAAGTGATATATTTATGTATGTATACATATTTCGCTATACTTCTGCATAGTGCAGCAATATTGAATAAACAATCTTACAAACTACATATGATAAAGAATATAGTTAATACATTTTATCGTTTGTGATAATTCTATGTTACTTATCATTTTAACTCGCTGTCAAATCGTCTCTTTCTATGTATTATAGAAACTAATTTTTTGTTTGCAGTTGTATCAATTTCATGACTTATCATTATAGTATATCTTATTGATAAAAGTTAGTTCACGATAGAGAAAGAGCAAGTGCTTTAGGAAATACAATGAATAAGTTTTTGATTATCTTTGTTCACAGTTCATGATTTTAGACTTCAGATTCAAGAACTTCTCTTTGGACATAGTTGCTTCTCGGTCGTCTGGATTGATGCGGCAGTGCGTATCTTAATTTGTCCCAAAACCAAGGATCTCCCCATTTAACGTACGTGTTCATAGATATGTACGCTCTCAGTTCAGGATCCAAATTATCTGTGGGTCCGATGTCACCATACAAGATCAGTATCACTCGCGTCCGTTTTTCGCTTAACGCTTGACGATGGGCAGCCCGAAATTCCATTCTTCCCCAGATGCTCTTCAAGAAATTTGGCGACAGCACCACTATTGTCCGTCTAGAATTATCTACGGATCTAGCAATATTATCCGGTATCCATTCGCCCGCTAACCAATCTCGATAATGAACACACAATTTGAATGGTGTTGGGCCACTCTCGAGATTCGGTATCAGCTCGTCTGCTATAAAATCGATATCTTTGTGCGAGAAGCTCACAAACGCATCGTATAATCTGTCCTTATCCAATTCCTCTTCCGTAACAAACCATAAACACCACTGATGCGCAAAAAGCCATATTTTAATGTGTTCTTGGTATTTGTAATACAGACCAAAAATACTACCAATTAATCCAATAAAAGCAATTGTTGCACTGATGCTGATAATCATTGTTACGTGAGAAGGACAAAAATCGTCCCAGGTCATTTCTGATATGGATGTATTCTTTCTATGACATATTACTTTATAAGCTTCGGGCATTTTGATTATTCCGGATTCTGAATGAATAAATTTATAAAAATTTCTAGCATCACAGTCGCATTCCCAAGGATTTTCATGTAACGTCAAATGAGTTAAATTGGCAGAGTGGTTCCAAAATCTCAGTACATCAAGATCTATTCTTAATAAGTTGTTATTGTGTAGCTCCAAATCCTGAAATGTGTGTATGTTCAGTATGTTTTAAATTAAATGATAAAGCTTAACATTCTTTTATAATACTTTTAAGGATAAATAATTTTTATAATTCTATATTTCGGCCATATATACATATATACATATATTTTATAAATTATTATATATAGCTATTTGTGAAAAAAATTCAAAATCAATTTGTCAAATTTTTTAATTAGACATTTCGAATTTGTTTCCGTAGCATACGTTTCTAACAGTTTCTTTAAATTTTTTTGTATAAATTATTTTTATGTAAAATACAGTTAAATTACGCACCTCTGTTGTCTCCGATAATCCAATTTTGGAAATAGTAGATATGTCGTTGTGAGATAAAAAAAGTTTATTTACTGATCTGAGTTTTAATTTTTCCAAGTCTGGCATTTGTGTTAACCGATTATGAGAGAAATTCAAATAAAATTTCGTAATTGTTTTAACTGATTTTGTCAAATTTTGAATAAAATGAATGTCAGGTTCTCTTATATTGTTTGGCACATTAGTTAAGTTTTTATGAGAACAGTCAAATATGAAAGCTTTATCATGAGGCTTCAAAAAGCAATCGCACTTTTCGGGGCATATGGAATCTGTGTTTTGTACTTCACAGGTTAAATTTCTAGAATATAACCGGACTTTTTTTAATTCTTTTGGACTATGACAAGTTAAATCGTGTAATTCTATCTGAAAATAGCGTCGAACGTTACTCATTTCCTCTTCGTAATAACGTAGAAAATCGTACACGTCACAATCACAATTTAATGGATTATTTTCCACTAATACTCTAATGCTACGATCAGTTTTTGTTCTTATTTTTGTGATATCTTCGGCATCGTGTAAAAGGATATTTTGTATTTTATTATGAGTCAAATTCACTAGAACGTTGTGTGATGAAAACAGTAAATCTTCAGTCTAAAATTAAAAAACAAAGGTATTGTCATATATTCATCATTCACAAAAACAATTTCATATATGTAATATACACAGTGTTCCAAAGTTAAATGCTCAAACTTTGTCAGTATGTTCTACGATTATAAATAACTGATTTATTATTAATAAATCGGTTTCGCTGTTAATATATTACGAAATGAAAGTAGGTCAGCAATGTTTATCTAATAAGTTTATTGTTGCTATGTTTATTATTTTAAATTATCGAAGGTAATCAGTTTCGATGAATGAGTGAATCTATGTCAGTTTTGAAATTAGTTTATTCTATCAGTACATGGTAAAATTTCATAATAAAATGTGAAAAGTGTTCTGGAACAAAAAGTTCCGCAGATATGATTTTTGTATATGACTTCTGCAATGGAAAATCTCGAGTTGCAAAGGAATATCAATGAAGGTTCTTTAATATATTTATTGATCAAACTGGTGATGTTTAATTGTTTAACTTTAAAACACCCTGTATATATCACTTTTCAAGGTGCTGTTTTAAATACTTACTTTTATAGTAGATATGTTGTTATAGCTGAGATCCAATGTCTGAAGTTTTTTCATTTTTATCCAATCGTACAATATTTCGGAAATGCTATTGTTAACTAAATATAATTTTTCTATGTCATTGTCAATCCATATGTCGAATGCATGGGACCATTTAGATAACGTAAGATAATTGTGAGACAAGTTAACAATCTTTAAATTTCTTAAATCGTAAAAATTATAATCGGAAATAGTTCTTAGATGATTTCGTTCCATATTTAGTTGTTCCAATTGGAATAAATTATCAAATAAATTTCTAAAATATAAAAAAGATTTCTGTATCAGTAAAATTATAAAACGTAAGCAATTATTATAATTCATATAATAAAAGCGATTTAAACATACTTAGAAATGGTAGTAATGCGATTATTTGATAAATTCAATTTTTTTAATTTCTTGGTATTTTTGAAAATATTATCCGGCAAAGCTTCTAGATAATTAGAGTCCAATTCCAATATTTCTAAGTATGACAAATCTCGAAATATTTCTACGGGCAAAGATTGGAGGTAATTGTTACTCAATACAATCTCTTCCAGCGACGATGATCCCCAAAAGAGATCTTTCGGTAAAGTGATTAGTCCATTGTTCATCAGTTCCAAATGTTTCACTTTCGTTAAATTGCTAAAAAATTCATCCAATAAAGTCAAATTTCTCTGGTTGTCATTTAAGTAAACTCTTGCCAATTTTGTATTGTTTTGTAGAAGATCTTTTGGCAGATTTGTAAAATTGTTCCCTTCTAGAAAAAGATTGTTAAGGTTTTCCAGCTTTGCGAATATATTTTCTGGTAAACTGGATAAGTCATTCATTGACACATCGAGGTGTCTCAGAGCGACAAGTTTGTCGAAAATGCCCGCTGGGAACTCGGTTAAATAATTCTTACGTAGATCCAGATGTATTAAATTTGTCAGCTTATCAAATGTGGTGGATTCTATCCGTCTCAAACTGTTATTCCTCAAATAGAGCCAATTTAATTCGGGGGTAAAATCAAAAAATTCAACGGCCAAAGATTCTAAGTTGGTGTTTGTTATGTGAAGGATCTGTAATTTTTGCAAATTGGCTAACAGATCTTTGTTCACATGGTGTATGTTGTAGTTATATATGAACAGTTTTTTCAAATTTTGTAAACCGTTTAGATGATGCTTTTCCAAGGTTAAGTTTAAGTTTTTTTGTGATGCAAAAAATATTAATTCCAGGTCTGTATCATTTAGCATTTGTGCAATGTTTATCAATTTGATGTTCTTAGATAAATTACACTCTTTGAACACCATCAGGTAGTCAGAAGCCCAAGAAGTATTATGCAACGTAATATTCCATATGTTGAGATTAAAATTTGACAAGTCCGCTGAGTTGACACAGGTAATCTATGTGAAAAACATATTTATGTAAATTTGATTTAATTATCTAAAAGTTAAAAGAAAAAAGAAGAAACGTTTATTTGTGAAACTTTCCATGAATTTTATACAAAATTATTTTTTAATAGTATGTAAAATAAATAATTTTGTAAATAAGTAGTTCTAAGTAAGACATTGAAGAACTTTTTAAAGAAAGATGGAATAAAAAATTTAAAAAAATACTTTGCTGTACGAAAGATATTATGAAATATAAAAAACGTGAATATCGTAATCATGAAAAGTTTAATATTTGTTAATATTCGATGTCTTATAATATTTTTGAATTGTATAATTTAGCAAAAAATCTCTTTGTATCTATATTAGTCGATTTATAATTTTATAGCTTTTAATTTAGAGTTTTATAGTAATATTAATTGTGAGTACATAGAGTTTGAAAGTCATATATCGCACAATCGCAAGAAAAGTGACACCAGTCAAAATTTTTCGAATTTTGTTTTATGTGCGGATTGCGTTCTAAATCGGTTCTTAATCAGGGAAAGTGATAGAAGTTGAATTTAAATACTTTCCGCATGAGACCGATATGTTTAATACTG